ATGCACTTGCAAACACACTCCACAGTGTGGGAATGACAGGAGAAAATAAAAACAGTATCTGTGAGGGAACTACACAGGAGAAAGAAATGGAAAAGAGAGAGGAGGAGAAAAGAGAGAAGATGAAACAAAGTGCAGGAAGAATAGAAGAGACAGAAAGATACAAAGTGGATCACAGAGAGACGCAGAAATTGGAAAATGAAACATTCTTATCAGCTATAATTTGTCATTTTTCTTTTTGTTAGCATTTAATTCAATATCTTCATTTAAAAAGGCAATCAATTCTTCGTTAAGTGTAATCAACGACTGGAGATTGATTGTGTTGGAGGATTTCAGACACGTACACATGAAGGTGTTAAAAAACAAAAGAAAGAAGAATTGTATTCAAAGTACAAAACTGCTTCTGTAAATCTACATGACAAAATGCTGTAAAACTGAGAGGGAGAAAAGAACTCTAACAGAGCCATGCAGCATTTTCTCTTTAGCTTACACTAGGAAAGAAGCGGCTGTAAAACGGTGGATAACGTTTTTTGTGTCACAACCTCCGTAAAATGACTCAATTTACTCAGATTTTGGTCCATTTGGTCTGATAACATTTGGAAAGTCTAGAAGAAGATAAGCATTTTGGGCAGTTTAGAAAAAAAGAATCCCGCTTTCCAACACTGTATCCAGTTCTTCCTTAATACATCCACAAGCTGACCTTTACCCCGAAATTCCACAGGACACGGCTTCTTGGCTTCACAGGCCTTCAATCCCACTGAGAACATTTCAGAAGCGGAGCATCTTCAGAGTGTGTTGCCTGCCCGACGTTGTTTACTTGTGTATTTTGTCCTTAAAAAGGATACAAACGGTGTGTTTCTCCAGTTCAAATCTCCTCTGATCTGCCTCTGACCGATTGACTTCTGGCCACAGCGCTGATCTAGCGTGAAGTTTGACCTGGAGTCTGCACCCGGTATTATTTTAGAGCGGATTCTCTATGCTGTTTCTGTATCTGACTTTTTATCAATGTGATCTGCTCTATGTAGCTTGACGCAAGTGGGGTGTGGGAGGCACTTCTGGGACGCACTGCAGCGCTTCTGGGGAAATTTTGAGCATTGCCTAAGGGCCCGATCAGCTCCGGCAAGCACAGCGGAGCCAGAATGCGTTGTGGACGTGATTGGTGGAATTTGAGGGTCAGGGAACAGACAGCCAGAAATGATTACATTTTTTACATAAAAATATTTTTTGTAATGTATTTTGCAATTGAAATACTGTAAAAACTTCTAATAATAGCCCAGGGGTTTATTTGCTTAAATCACTGAACTCCCCCTGCCTTTATTGGGGACAGGTGTTTAATTCCTTTAGCACAAATCTCTTGCTCAGCACAGATGGAAACACTCTCTAACTCTCTCAATGAGCAACAGACTTCACAACTCGGATTTGTTTTATTGAAACCCTTTTATTCTTTTGATCGGTGGACCCTTACAGACTAAAGGAATATAAATAATGGAGGAATGCACACAGACAGTACAGACTTTATGATCCCTTCAGAGTTTTTTTTCCGTCTCTCTTGTTTACCATGCCAGTAAGTCTGAATGAATTATACTTTGGTGTTCTTAGTTTCTGTAAAATTAACTTAACGATTGGATTGTGAATGTAACTGATCTGACGATGTGCAGCATCCATATTGACAAAAGTTTAAACATTTATATTTGTGTGTAGGCGATCTAAACGGCTTAAAACTTGCTCAAGCGGGCGACCCGGTGGGTTTTAGGAGGTTTTATACATTGAGACAATTTCTATAAAATCCAGACAAGGCCTCTAATGGAGACCTGCGTTTATTTGTCAAAATGTGTAGCCACACCAGGCTAGTAAAGGAGACCGGTGTCTATATGAGACCCTGCTTTTATTGGAAGTTTTATGGTAGACAGTTTGTCAACTCTTAAAATAATGTCTGAGGTGTACAGTTCAATTTACAACAATGCTGCAGTACTCACACATTCTTTTTGCAAACTTCTGCCACCTAAATTTCCTGAAAATGTCACTGATTTATAAACACTGGATCAATAGATATAATAGACAGAGACAGATGACTAGAAGTTGGGACATATAAGAATAAGAAGGACTGATGGAGGAATATGTGGGTAAACAAGTGGGAGGAAGGGATGGAATTATTTGGATGGATGGACAGAAAGGAGCATGAAACCAGGAGACAGAAGACAGATGAGTGGAAAGAAGAAATAAATGAATAGGAAGGAAAGGTGCAGGGAGGGGTCCCTTTGCTTTCAGTTCAATCAAATCAAAGACACTTCCACGCACTGCAATTTAGATTGTAAAGGATTTCATTTTAACAGAATTTTATTGCAAATAATCAGTGCAGTAATTGTAGTTTTAACTCTTATTGAGTGACTGTTGACAAGAGGACAGTGGGGAAAGAAAGCAGGAGGATGGATGGAATGGACAAAAAGAGCAGGAGTTAGAGGGTTATGATGAAGCTTACCATCACTTTTATCTCATCTGCAGGCTAGAGAGGTTGGGAAATGGAAAAAAGAGAGAGATTAGGTATAGAAACAAAGCAGGATAAGAAAAGAAAGACCAAGAAGGAGGTGGAGACAGGAGTACAAACAGCAGGACATAGGGCTTAGGTTAGGGTTGTTAATGCTTATTGTTTAAATTGCAGTTAAAAGAAACATTTCTGAAATTATTTACAATTAATCACATGGTATTGTGTTCATCCATCCATCCATCCATCCTTCCATCCATCCATCCATCCATGCTGTCAAGCTGTAAAATTCATCCAGTCACATCATTTGTTTGTATTTGATTTGCAATGACCAAATATATGGAATTTATTTAATATTGACTATCTGCCGATACCGAGTCCTGATAAAATGCAAATTGTATTTTCCTATAAAATACAGCTGCACAGTGCAGACATCAAGTACATTAAAGTCAGTCCAATGAAATAGCTCTGGAATGCATTAAGAAAACATTGCCTGCATCAATCTCTGCCTTAATGTTTTTTGTTTTACAAAATAAAGTATAAAATAACAAACCCTCTGTAATCTTTTTGGCCTTGTCACTGTCTCGAAGGATTTTCTCTCTCCCATATTTGTTGCTTTAGTGCAGCCTTTGCCTGAGTGAATGAACTGTATTCTGTTGAGGGTTTATTTTCCTCGTCTGTACATCTTTTGAGCTGATTACATTAATAAATGACTTTTATTGGCTTTTAGCTCGGGGGGCTTTTGTTGCACTTGAAGTGGCGCGGTGAGTGCGGTTGTGTCGGCTCCACCGCTGTCTGTCCCTGCTCTCACACTGACACACGGAGCTCAGCACAGTGGAGGAGAGACAGACAGCAGAGAGTTGGAGAGCCGATGACGGGTGCAGTCGTTGCGTTGATGAGCATGAAAGCTTTACGAGCAAAACACCTGTGTGACAGCTGATGTTAAACAATGGGCTGGACCGGGCTCAACAAAGCTCAATATAGCCGGTACCAAAAATTGCCTTGATCGTCCCTAATACCAATTCTTGGAGACTGGACTATTGTGGAGTGTGAAATATTATTGTCTAATTTTACAACTGTTGTACTGTATTGTATAACATTTTGAAGATCAGCTCCATAGAGTAAAATACTCGGCATTAAAAATAAGTATCTAAAACTAAAAATCAAAAAATCAACTACCTTGTTACAAATTCTTACAAAATTGAACTGCTGAATAAGATGTCTCCTAGTTTACTGAACAGCCCATTCTCGCCCAACGTGAAAATAACCTTCAAGTGTCAAACTGCACAGTGAATGAAGTAACAATAGTAAACATAAACATACAAATAGAATAACAATGTGGACAAATTTGGAATATTATCAACATTTCAGTCTAATCTGTGACCCCGTCGGTTTTAGATGACCCCACACCGAGTTCCAGACCCAAGGGAAGTTGCACACAGCAACAACCACAACACCAGCATTTCCTTTTGGTTTTTCTGAGCTTCAGAAAGATCTGTGTGTGTAAAACACGGAATGGACTGGAATAAACTATCACTTAGTAAAAAATGACATTTTATTGTTTTTAAGTCATTGTAAAATCTTGGCTGTGCTAAAGACACACTTCTGTGAAATATGAACGTGCCTTTACAAACACTGCATACAACACAAAGTCCCAAACAAACAACTGCATTGATTACTTTTATTTGCTTCATTTCAAACACAGTCACAATCTTTCTTTGCACTGTCCATATGCAATAATCGCTATAGGTTAATAGATTTTCTGACTCAACCCTCATTGGTCAAGTACTGCTGGTGATAGACTCTCAGAAACATTTGGAATAACTTAAAAAATGAAAGTGCAGCAGTTGTGCCTTATAAATCAGAATGGCATTTAGCTTGCATAAACAAGGCTCCTTCTGTTGCCAGTACACAAAGACAAGTATTTTAGCACTGCCACATCAGGAGACGATTCCTGAGACTAAAACCTTGTTAAATTGCACCAAGCCTTATGGCATAAAAATGTATCAACACTGGGAAAACTTTTGATCTTTGATTGTTTTGACACCAGATGGGTGCGTTTGTCACATTAGGAAAAGTCAACATGTAGAAAAAGTTGAAATAATAACAGCAAAGTGTGTGAGATTGACAGCCTGTCTGACACTATGTGAACTTCTCTAATATCCTAAATCTTACACATCTGGTACACCCAGCAAATTAATGCCAATCAATATTGTTAGGGTGCTATTGTCCCAGGTCTGACAGCCACAGCACTGTGGCACTGAATAGCAGCATCAGTGCAGGGAGGTGAAGAGAGTCTACAGTCACACATGCACACACATACACACACAGAGGGAGGAAGATTCATCATAATTATCAGGGCTGCTGAACGCCAAATCAAATCAGAGCCGATCGTCTGTGTTTCATAAACAGACCTTAACTGAGGAGAGACAAAGAGTGAGAGGGCTTCTGATGTGAGAGATACTTCCACTGTCGGGTGAAAGCTGCAGCTGGTGCATGCTAATGCAGGTGAAAAGAGCGACTGAAACTGTTCCTGTGCTAATTTTATGTTAGACGAGGATCTGTTTGGCGGGGATTAAGCGGAAACAGAATGGATTTAATTAAAAAACACAGCTCTCCTTCCTATCTGTGTCTCCCTGTGTTGGTCCTGTTTTAATTTGCAGTCAGAGAAGAAACTGCAAGTGAATCAGATGACTCCTCTGGTGTCCCTCCAGGGACCTGCGAGTCTATGGTAGATAACAGCCAGCCAGGCGTGACTTCACACACAACACAATACACACAGGCACACACACCTACATGTGCACACACACACACACACACACACACACACACACACACACACACACACACACACACACACACACACACACACACAAGAAGGCTTACATGCTAATGTTTGTTTAGTCTGTATCTCTGTTGGGATACCTGGCATTGTCCATTTGTGTCTATGATTCATTCAGTATTTTTAGTTATTGAGTCCATCTGTAACTCTGGTTTCCTGCTTTAAACCATGTTTAGACTGACATTAGCACTGCCAGACAACGCAGTCCCCTCATGTATTTCAATGAAACAGCAACCTGCCAGAGCAGAGGGCCCCAGCAAGACAAAAACAGGGTTAAACAGACAAAAAAGTTGATTCAACATCGTCCTGCACACTGTGCTGGCCACTCAAATACATGCAAGCAAATGTTCCTAGTAGAATCGACTGATGTTACAACTTTACAGTTTGCTCATCATATTAATCTAATAAGCTTAAGCTTCTTGAAAACTGCTCTGATATATTAAAATGTAGTATTGGGTAACCTCAACAGTGCTTGGTGATGAAACACAAGCTCCAAGGTGATGACATATTCATGTAGAGCTAATTACACAACCAACGTTGCATTGACCAATGTTGTATTTTTAACAAAAAGTGTCAATATCTGCCCCAGATGGTGGTCTGACCCTATGTCTGGTTATTGGTTGTCAATATGAATCAAAACAATTTTCTTTCTGATATTTATACTTTGAGGAATATGTACAAGATTTATAAAAAACCCTTTTAAGCCATGCTAGAGTAAATCCCTGGGGATGGCAGTGTCGGTCCGTCGGTTGGTTGGTCTGTACATCGGTCAGTCTACTACTTTGGTCCACATTGAAATATCTCAACAACTGTTGGATGGATTGCCATGGAATTTTATCTAGACATTAGGCCTACTGATGTTTCCTCTAGCGCCATCATCAGTTCATATCTAATACTTTGATGTATGGCCATATACTCGCAAAACTAATGACATCACAGCCACAGCTATACTTTAGGCTAATTAGCTAATGATAGCATGCTAACAAGCAAAACTAAGATGGTAAAGGTGATACGTGCTTAGCATCAGCACGTTAAGCATTATCATTGTGAGCATGTTAGCATGTTGATGTTAGCGTTCAGCTTCTAAAGTGCAGCCTTACAGAGACGAATGGCTGCAGACTCTGCAGGTCTTGTTTCCCTTAACAACCTCTCAAATGTTAAATGTCTAAATACATGAACTAAAAAGATAAAATATATGAAGATATACATCAGTTAATATAAATTGTATGATTACAGAATGGGTTAAGAAGAGTACAAATCGCTGCAAGCATTCAAAGCCAGCTTTTTGCCACTATTTTCGATATTCCACATTCTCATCAGGCTGGTACGAGATGTTCAACATATAACCTGACCTTGCAGTCAAGAGCATTCTCTCAAGACTTGAGAGTTAAGAAAGAGAAAGTCAATTCAATGTCTACTAGTGGTACGGCAGCAGCATAGATTGGGTAGGGTTAAACAGAGAAACTGTTTTTAACCCGAGGTTTCAAGAATGATAAACAAGCCTCACAAACACATCCTAGTCCTCTCAGGATAATGCCGCACATTATCTCAACCTAAAACCTAAACTGACTGCGAGAGCTGTTCATTTTGTAATTCCTGTTTTTCTTTTTTTTTACTCCTGTATGGTATCAGTCACCATCAGCTTATTGTGCCTACACACAAAAGAAATTCAATTTGGGATGCTCAATCACAAAGCAGTGTAAAATTACAGGGATATCACGCTGTGTGCTTTTAGACATACATTAAAAAAATGGGCATTGTTGTTTTTTTTTCATTTTACTCTGCACTTGAGTTAAGATGTATATTATGTACAGGAAATGAAGCTTTAAAAGCACCATTAAGATCAAAATAGACAAACAACACCAGAATACAAACTTCAGATCTCACATCCATACTTTGCAATACCTAATCAGCTCACTTTTTATAATACTGAACAATTGCTGTTTGCCATACACGATATCAAATTCATTCTCCTCTGGCACTTTTAAAAATTGCTCTAAAAATATCCTAAATGACTGAAATTAAAACAACATAAAACATAAGAACTAATCTAGTTGAGAAGAAAAGAGAAGGAAAGCGAGAAAATGCAAGAGACAAGAGGAAGGCCAAATACATAAATGTAAACAAAAATAACTTCAGCTATTAAGAAGGTGCATAATTGAATAAGGCAGCTGCTAGC